TAGTGTGCACAGAGTGAAATAACGAAATTATAAATTAAAAAAAAAACGTTTGTAGAAGTAATATACAGGGTGTTTCACAGAAGAATCGACACAGAGCAAGGGCATGTAGGGGAACCCAAAATATGGTGATTTAACGCAACTTCCCTTTATACTAAGCTGCACTCCTGATAAGTTATAGGCCTTGAAGGTGGGGTTTCAAATTTCGAAAAAAATCAATATCTCAGATATATTTGAACTTAGAAAATCCAAATTTGGTACACGGTGTTAGTGTACTAAGAGCTTTAATAGATAGAGTATGTATATATTGGTAGATGTCTTAGAAATTTTCAAAAAAATTTTTAATTTTATCAGTAGATACAGATATAGACAGATATATATAAACAGATACAGTTCATTTCGCAATGAAGAGGATTTGTTCATACAATTATTTTTCTTTTTATCAATTTACAAGAAAAAATAAAATTTAGAAGCTTTACATACATAAGTACCCAAAATTTTCTTAACTTTCGGTAATTAACCAAGATACTAATAGAAATATTAGAAAGTATCGCAAATTAAAATGTAAATTGAACATGTTTAATAGTGCAGTTAATGTTTAAAAAAAAACACACCACAGAAATGAGACAACCCCCAAATCCAAAAGCCAAAGGCTTGTGCGGAAGGGGGCTACACTTGAAAAAACGCGGACAAACACCCATTATCCATCGACATTGCCAGTGCCGACACCGGGGATCGAACCCAGACCGGAGTAGGAAGCCTAGCCGAGAAATGCTTGCCACCGCACTCTCGACCGACTGCGCTACCGTGGCGAGAAATACATTTAGAATATTACATAATAAAAACAAAACCATTTACATTTATTACGATGAGCTACTTTTATACCAGAATCATATTTTAATGATTTATTTCTGTATACATCGCTGTTTTAGGATATTAAAGGAATGCTAAGCTATTATATGCGAATGTGTTTAATATGACTGTTAGAAAAATCTCGTTGTAACCGGATTAAGTCACAAAGTTTTTGATGAAGCTAAACTATTATTTTAAAGTCACGTGTAAACGGCGACAATTGCATAAATAAATCATATTTCACGGCTGTTGGGTAAAATATAATTAAGTGCCAATAAATGTTTTTAGATGGATACACTCTTGTGAAAAAGGTTATAGTCTGGTCACATGCCATTTGGATTTATTTTAATTTATCAGGGCCTACTATTGTTTTCGGTTAAATTTGACAAAAATTCGCTATTTTATATCCTGAACTGGATTCTCCACCCTCCCAGTTGGTTTTTTACCAAATTTTATAAAAAAATATTCATTGCGTATTATAAATTAATAGGAGTGTAAAATCATAAATAAATAAAATAAACGGAGAAAATGTTCACTAATATAATCAATTAAATGTTCAGTTCCAAATTAGCAATACTTAGTTCTTCATTTCAGTGAATGAGACGCTTATTTATTAGTTAATTAACAGTAACAAAATATTTATAAGTAATGTTTGACATTAACTATTGAAAACATTCACAAACGATAGGTACTGCCAATCTTAAATTTTTGAAATTTCTCAAGCCCTCGTTTTATTCTATAGATTCGTTTCTTCGCTTTTGAATATTTTTTCTTAAATATTTGTACATTTCTCTGCAAGATTCAGTTACCCCTTGATTCTACCCTGTTGGTTGGACGTACTTATATACTTCTCATATTATTAATTAGAAAGAAGTCTAACATTTAGAAAGACCAAATTAACCAACATTTTATTGTCCATTGGCGTAGACATATTTTGAATACAAAAATCGCTAACCAAATGCCGTCAAATTTCACACGCGAAAAAGAATTAAACAAATAAACTTTGATAAGAGAAAATAAATTCAAAATTCATGTGATGTAATAATTTTGTTAAAATTCTACTCTTATCTTTCAAAGAGCGCCAGAATTAAATCGGACAATAAATAACTTTTTACAGTAACCTTTCTAAATTTAAAATAGGTCACAATTTATATTTTATTTTCTATTCATATTAATCTAGCATTATCATTAGGTAAGAAAATATAAGTATGAACTAATATCATTTCAAATAGAAAGAAAAATATTAAAAATAAGAACTATGTAAATTTTTTATTCCATGATGTAACAATCTTCAACTCTGCCAAAAAAAACACATGGTGACAATACGATCAAGTCAGATGTTTTCAACCAATTTTAACAACATATTTATATATAGAATATCCGACGTTCCTTAACTTTTCCATTGTTTAAATTTTTGATTTGCACACTTATAAAATGCGTTTTGGTGCATTTTTAACATTATGTTCTAGTCAATATTCTTATATTATACAAAAAATGACACATGCAAAGACTACAAAGTAAAGTTCATGTAAGTCTTTTCACGGTTAGAGTGTAGAACAATATCTATAATTGCTCTAAATCAGTAGGTAATCATTTCTCCAAATATACTTACCACATGGTGATACTCCCGAATAACATTACATGAAAGTTTCATTCACTCATGCAGTGAAGTAATTATATCCTGTCGATAATTTCATATAAATATTGAAGGTCTTAGAGACTGTAGTGCAATAATGTGTATTTTAACTTGTTTTAACTAGTGGTGCATTTTGTTAATAACTACCATTGATCTCTGATATAAGGACCTGCAAAAATAAGCATTCGGAAAAAAAGTTTGGAATAATTAATAATAATTCCCGTTGTGATTAAGTTTTATGGCATTTCTTAGTAGTCCAATTAAATGAGCCTTTAAATCACAATTTGGTCAACTTGCCTGAATTTTTAATATAAGTTAGTTTGAGGTATATAATAACAATAAGTGACAGTAATTTTTTTTCAACCCTCGGCTAGGGATGAAAAAAGATAAAATAAAGGGGTTTTTCCAGATAAAAGGACTAAGAGCTAGAAAAAAGTTTCTTATAAAAGTTGTAGAGTATAAAATTCTACATAAAAATGATATATGGACTTTTTCTTGTACTATTAAGATTAACAGAGTTAGGGTGGCTAGAAGTTAAGGGATGAATTTAGAAATTTAAAAAATCAGAAGCAGAAAAATGAATTCATTTTATATATTTTTTTTCAATCTACTCTAAAAAAAGTAAGCTTTCTTTTCAGAAAAATAGATATATTTTTAATTTTTAATAAAAAAGTTATAACAATTTCAATTTTTTAATCGTTAATTTTTATCATTTAACACTATAACAATTTTTTTCTATGCCAATCGATTGATTATTTAAAATAATGAAAAGTTGCTTTGGAAATTTTGTTTTACGATAAAGATAAAAAAAATCACGTTCGTTTTGTGAAATTCTTTTAACTTTTTTATTAAAAATTAAAAAATATGTCTATTTCTCTGAAAAGGTAGTTTACATTTTTTAGAGTTAATTGAAAAAAATTTTTTAATTCATTAATTTTTCTGCTTGTTGATCTGATTTTTTAAATTTCTGCAATCATCCCTTAACTTCTATTCTCCCGAACGCTGTTAATTTTAATAGTACAAGGAAAAGTCAATAGACCATTTTTATGTTTAATTTTTTGCTCTACAATTTTTATAAGAAACCTTTTTTTCTATCTCTTGCCCCTTTTGAGTTATATTGAAAAAGCCCTTTATTTTGTCTTTTTTCACCCCTGGCCGGGGGTTGAAAAGAAAATGACTGTCATTATATATCTCAAACTAACTTATATCAAAAGTTCAGGCAAGTTGACCAAAATTGCGATTTAAAGGCCCATTTAATTGGACTATTAGGGAACATGTCGATTTTACATTAAACACACTTTTTTCAAAATAAGACTACAATTTCCGATCAGATCCCTTCAGAACATAATCTTCTGAAATCAGCTACTAAAATTATAGTTTATTTAATCAACTTGTCTTTGAAATGGGTTGGTTAAGGATATTTTAAAGCAACTGATTATCTGTTGTGAAATAGGTTAATAACTCCAGAAACATTTGACAACGTAAAGCGAAAAACGCTCAATGCGGAAACAATTGAAAGCGGAAGAGGCGGGGATAGGTGGAAGAGCATTTTTAGTGTTTCGAAAATAATGATTTATTCCATATTTTTCTTCCGTACGTTATATACCACGAGTATTATGCTAATTTAAATTTTTTGATGGGTAGCTTTCATTTTGAGGTATATTTTAGATTAAGAGAAAACAAAACTACTATGTGATTTATTAATGAATACTATTTTAAATGCATCTATTATATGCAGTCAGATATTAATTTTGACAAATTCTCCTAAAAGGTTAGTAATTTTAAACTGCCAAACCAATTTTACTAAATTAACAAGTAATAAACATATCACGACCAAACCCAACGAAATAGTTTCAAGATCAGTATAATCCGCCACTGTGTTTCCTGAGTGACTTATCTTTCTGCATGTTTTATGTTTAAAACCACATTCTATTAATAGGTATCCCGCACAATCATCGATTTTCCGCAATCTTACACTTGTTCATAAAAAAATTCTTAATATCACTACGAGAGATTATGCGAGAAGTTAATCACGTGCATTATGAAGTTGAACATGTATAATATCGGTGTGCGTTGGCCCCATCACGTGGTGTTTGTCATGTACAGTTGGCGATCACAGAACCAAGCCTTCTTATTCGATTGCTTTGGTGGGGAACGGCACCACGCGACACCGGTTCGCAAGATTAGTACCGAAATCGAAGTAGTAGTTCTTATCACGTCCATTGATAACCGTTTTGCGCGAGATAACATGTCTATATATGAATTAAGTTCGTAACAAATCTTAGTGCCTTATAAGCCTACGATAATCTGTACTAGTCTTACAAAGTAGTCTGAGCCAAAACCGTGATATAAGCTAAGCTTTTCCATTTTTTGTGTATCGCTAGTGCCAAAAAACGCATTGACAAAGTGTGCCGTTGTCAAATTCGAATAACTACCGGAATAGTGCTTGGAGACTGGTCTATCTAATTTGGTAGACTGTTTATAGGTTTTTGCATAGAGAACTGTTTATTTTCAGTGGTGTGGAATGCAAAGATGAAATTTATTCGGCATCTCAATTTTCGTCAGTAAAATCTGAGACTCCGAATAACAACAATTCGAAACCCGTTCCCGAAATCGTTTTGTCGGTAGTGGATGATAATAGTAAAGTGTTAGAAACCGGCCGCAAACCAGTTAGTTCAACTGCTAAATTGTTCGCAAACATTGAAATCGATAAAGAGCCTGAAAACACAGTTCGCCCTCACACAGCCACCACCAAGATATTTGGTCCAAGGACTAAGGATATGAATAAAGGCTTCTTAACTTTTTCGGAAGAGGAACCTGGTCTTACAAGTAAGTATAATCATAAATCATAATCCTTTTCTTTATCTTCCAACTTAAAAATCTTTTTTAATTCAAAAAAGCGATATTTACAAAACTCCTTTCCTCACTTCTTTGATGAGCTAATACTAGTTGAACTAGGTTATCTATTTGTTTACAATTCATTATAATCAATGCATCTGTTATTCGTTATTTTGTTTGCTTTCCTTTTATGAAAGAATGGGTTTTGACATCTAGCAATTAGAAACGTTTTTTTAATGTTTTTTTTTCATTATGGCAACATCGTAAATAATTTTCTGCGTAGATTTTCTAAACTTTTATCTTGTGAGTGCACAGTTATGGAGGGTATACAAATAAAGTAGGCATTGAAATGTAATACAGTTATACCATTTATACATTGTCACTGCCACCTTTTCGGAAAAAGAATTAAACGCTGGTGATAAAATGAAAATCAAACATTGAACTGAACATCATAATACATCATAACAAGAAATTGTCATGCTTGGGGATAGAGATAGACTATCAGTTGTAATGTTACTGATTATGATACACAGTTGATTTTGTGTCATACAACTGTCGCATCGTATCTGTGTGATATTAAACTCTATAAAACACACCTACATGCATAGACCATCTACTCGTATCTAATTGTTATATTATTATGTAGGCATGTAGATAGTGTAGGATTATCAATTTGATTATACTTCTAAAAAATCGGGTAAACACTGTAGAATCAGTTTCGGTGTGGCACCGTCCTATTGATTCATTTTCTTTCCTTTTTTTGTTTTTTTTTTTTTTGGAAACATTAACGCAGAAATGATAATGAATCTTTACCCATTCAGTGATTTAGCGTTTATTTCATGTAACCTTGAAAATTGTTTATAAAGTAATTAATATTATGCAACTAAACTGATCAAATGTTTGCTGTTAGTTAAATGGGATTTTTTTGGTCACATCACTGAACAAATATTAGCTCTTCAAAATAAAACGAAATTTATATTAATGCGACTTAACAAAATAAGAAATACTACACTTAATAACATTTAATAATGTATACCAATTGAAATTGTTAACGCTGGACGTGCCTGTCATAATAAGCGAGCACAGTAAAATTTTATTGGGATCTACACGACATTCATTACATAATGAATATAGTTCTGTCACACATCAATAACTTGGTAATATTATTTCCCCACGTATTTTATTAGTAGCTTTATTGGAAGAAAAATTTATAATTAAAATTATTTTTACATTAAAGACTTTTTATTAAACATTAACAATATTTTAACTCCAACTCAAAAAGCCTTTATTTTTATAAGGACGTAAAGTGGATAACAAACAATTTGGAGAAGGAAACTAAGCTAAGTAGGTACAGTTAATTGACAAAGGTTATTAAAATTAGAAAACTATTTATTTGTTAAAAAATTGCTTAAATTATTAATTGGTATTAACTACCTACATATTGTGAAAATTATTAAAATCAGTACATTAATTATTTTTCTTTGCAGACCAAAACATTCATTATTACAGAAAAATATACCTATATACCGAAATTATTGGCTGCGATAGGTGTAAAGCACAAAAATATTTGTAGGTACCTTAATTATGAGTGAAACGTATTTAAAAAAAAGGCGTAGGTGTATATTATATAATGATTTTGGATATTTTTTACATAATGATTCGCCAACTACTTGTTTACACATAACTTTGTCAAAGTTAATTTTGTATAGTAGGTATAGCTGGCTAACGTTATACGAGGGAAATCTATAAATAGATTATGTTGACTTAAATTTGTTTTTTATGTCGGCGTATATAAACTCAGCTGATGTTCGACCTTGGCATTGATAAAATCTGATGTTACGGAATTAATTAAATTCAAGCCGTTATTTCTTGCAATCACTATATTTAGAAATTTCTCTATTCTCTAAAGTGTACAGGCCAAAAATACTTTACTTGTTTTGGCAATGCTTTGTCTAGTCCCATTATTTGTTAGTTTGTTATAATTTTAAATTTAAGCTAATTTTCTTACAGTCGTATCAAATGAGGTTTATACTATGAGGATTATATAGAATTTGATACATTTAAGCTAAAGAAAAAGAACAAGGCTTCATGATAAAGTAGATATCCTACAAAAAAGAATGTTATAAATTGTAAATGAATATATGCAGCTAAAATGTTCAAGCGCGTTTTTGTAATTTAAGTTTTTCGATTTTACAACAGATCAGTTGAGATTAACAATTTAGGTATTAACATCCTGTTAATCCTGATCTACTAGTATTAGCCTCGGTATTAGCATTATATCATTCAGGCATTTAAAATAAATACTACATCCAAATTAGGGCTGTCAGAAAAAGCCGCAATTCAATGGCGTTCCAAGCGGGTTAACCAAGACATGCGTGAGCCGCTGCCTCAGAATGCTTTTCACGTCACGTTAATATATGTACTTATCGTGGGCATATTGCGTAATTCCTATCCGTTGGTTTTTATAATGGTTTAATTTGTTGCTTTTTAAAAATAATGCGTGCGCCTATGTCCCGCGGCTCTGTTCTGACAGCCTTAATCCAAATTCCATGCATATATTAGCTTTAGTTTTGTAATTGTCTCTAACCCTAGTTTTTTTCAGTATCTGATTGATGATAAAAAGGATCATTATTATGAAAGTATCTTTAAACGACCAAACTTTATTGATTTGAATACATTTGGAGTATTTATCGTTTTAGAGCATCTAAAATTTATTGTGTTAGTGGACATGAACAATTTCTTTACTAGAATTAACAGTAAATTAATCGCATGGAATTATCTAGTTAATTATTGCTCTGTAACTTTATCCTTAATTTTATTACCCAAACTAAACGTCCATTTCTGTTGTTTCAGTGCTTAAGGACGAACCGGATGATTTAACCCACTTGGCCCCAGTAGCTGGAGATGTTTGCGTCCCATTGGACGAACACCCATTCCTCTCTGACGTGTTTGAGGATTTCTTGCTTAAAGATAATTTCGGACCGTTGCTGTCCGAAGAACCGTCGGATCCGTTTATCTCCTACAGAGATTTCCACGATCCGTCTCCTCAATTACTTTCCCCCAACTTATCAAAGGTTGGTTTAGATTTCTTTATTAATATACGAAAAGGGAGTATGATACGGATTAAAGTGATATATATTAGTCAAATAAAAGCAATCCTAAATGGATCAAAGGTTTTCGTAGCAGTTATATGAGTACTAATAAAAAAATTACAATTTAATTAAAAAAATTGGCTGAAGTACTTTTTTTAATAAATTATTAAATAATTGGATGTTTGGTATTATAATTTATTTTAAACAGAATGTAACAACAAACTTTAAGTGCTGAGTTTTCCCATCAAAACAAATATAAATAATGATTTCCTCTAAAAAAGTTTCTGAAGGTATTATGATTCTTCAAATATTGAGTATGAAACAATGTTTCTGGTATATTCGAGTTTTCTAAAAGATCATCTAAAATTTTACGAAACATTAACCATTGTTGTGAGGCGTTTCAACTTTCGAAAAAAAAGTTACATTACCCTTAAAAGGACTTTCTTTTACAGGATTGGATATACCATTTACCAATAAATATCTCGCACCTTTTAAGTTTTTTTTCCGAAGTGCATCGTGCAAACAATAACCGAGTTTCATTGTTTTCAAAATCAATTATTTTGTTCCAATAGCCCAGGGACATTAGTAGACCTTTAACATGTGTATTGGCTTACACCTTTAGGGTACTAAGGCACTGAAGGGCATTAATTAGAAATTTAATGACATTAGCATTAGAATATCTATTACTGTACAAAAATTTAGAACAGCGGTTTGTCCCTTGGGGTTACTAGGTACTTAATTATGCAAACTTTTAATCACTTTTCTTTCACATAAATACGGCTTTATAGAATTTGGAAATAATATGTAAAAAAGTTTATCTGTGATGTGAAATACTCAAATATGTGTTCTTTGAGAGTTGAAGAGCTTTTTTGCAGACCTTGACAATCTTTTGAGAAAAATGGATATTTTATATATAAACCTACATTTTATCCACACGAAGTAAAATGAGTAAATGACGAAAAATTAAGCGAAATTGAAAAGAATAATGTATCTCTCCATTAGAACTTATTTCGCTTTGCCACAAAATTGAGATCACCAACGTTAAAATCTCACAGAATCTTTATTTTGACGCGTATAGTCATTTTTCCCACTTAATTTCTATGCAATTATTAAAGTATTGATTTTTATACAAACTGATATTTTATCATATATGTTGACTTGAGTTTTGCAATTGAATCTCAAATTTTACATGTTTATTTTCACTGGTTCTTGGGTATTTCATCAGATATCTGTTTTACTTCTAATCTTTGAAGAATTGTAAAGGAATATTTCTAGGAAGCATTACTAGTTTTGTTTTTTTTACTCATGTTGACAAGATGACTCAGCCTTGAAAGTTTGCCGCAACATTATATGATGTGTAACATATAAAAATATAAAGTGTAATTAACTTTATTACATAGCTCTTCATATATGTCTAACTTTAAAAATTTTATACTTAAACTATAAAAATAATATTTGATCCACTAATCAAGCATTTTTAATAGTATTTTCATAAACATGCTTGCTTTTTTCTGAATTTTTAGTGTAATTGAAAGTATACAGATTTTTTTTTATTATTAATAGTAAATTCAGTAGTAAAAGGATGTGGCTGATTTAATGGAAGCAATTGGATTGTTGCCAGATTGATATTTTTTTTAAACTTTCTTACAATTAGATTAGTGATAGGGGAATAATGGGTCTATCTTTAATAATAAAGAAGATATGAGGAGTTGATTTTCAAAACGCAGTTTTCGATTTTGGTTTTCAAAACGTATTCCTTTCGTATTCAAAAGTTTTAAACAAAATACCACAAAAAATATTTTCTAATGTCAGGTGATTAATATTATTATCTTTATAGCACCAACAATTTTTCACATATGATTATTACGTAATAATCTCAAAATGTGTTATGTTTCAAAAACTGCGTTTTGAAAATCACCTCATATATTAAAAATGTATCATAAGTATAATGTATTCCACCAAAGATTAGAAAGAGGAAAGATAGGAAAGGTATACTAAGGTCTTCATGGAAATAATGACTATAAAATTAGTAATAAATAAACATCTGAGTTGAGGGCTCTATGTCAGTCAACAAAATCAATGATAAAGCTTATCATCATCATTGGCTGAACAAAACATTCTAAGGTACCAGAAAGTGTAATAGATGGTACCGGAACCGGAGTATTTAAATTTTAAGATATTTTGAATATTTAAATGTAGATGCTGGAAAGAATTTTATACACCTTAGATAAAAGTCAAATTGTTCAAAAGATTTAATTTACCTGTATTATAACTATGAATTTTTAGAACATAAATGTTTGTGTTTGTGTGTTAAAATACAGAAAGCTAAAACATACACATTTCAATGTGCAGGTTTATAAAAATCCTAATGTTAAGGAGGTGTTAAGACTCAACCTTGAAAGTTTTCATTTTTATCTATTAACTTTCCAGGACTAATACAACAAGTACACATGCACAACAAATACACTTGCCTACCAAATTAAGGATTGCGATCATGATGTGCCTTAATATTACTGTAAAGTTACACTACAGCTACATTAGTATTAAGATCATAAAGTTTTTGGATAGGAAAGTTTTACATACTTACATTTCTGCATTTTTCGGGACAGTGAAAAATGCATATTGACCATGTTTCTGCAATTTTTAACTATACAGTACTTACCCTGATCATAATTTACATTGCCAAACAGAAAATTATTAGAAAATAAAAATATAATAGGATATTAGAATATAATAAATAAGAAGAAACATAAAAAACAACTAATTGAAATTTAACAACTGACAGCTGTTTTCTGAAAGATAACTTAATTTATTTTTATACGTAGAATTGTGTGAATACATCTGAAACGTAGAAGTAAAGGGAGCATTTTTGATCTTTCCTCTCCCTAATCTTTGTGTTATACAAAGATATGGTTCCTGGTAACTAATGGTAATTTATTTATTATGATTGTGGTACACATATACCATATACCCAGTGTCCTATTAAAGAAAGTTTTATATTATTTTTCAAAAAAATATAATAAAATAGAAAAAAAATCAGTAATCAGACAACATTGCAAATACTTCCATCAATTAGCTGTATCATTTGCCACTGGATTTGAAGTTGATATTGGTTAGACAATTCATATAACAGTTACAGAGGTATACCGCCGAAATATGATGCAGTTAATAAATCCAACTCTTTTCTAATAGTATAATTTGATCTAAGCCAACTTACTGTGAATATTGAGCACGATGTATTGGGTGATAAATATCATTTCAAAATATTCATTATTGAGATAATATAGATTATTCTGTTTACAATGCAATAAATGTAATTGCAAATCATATTTCAATTCACATAACTTCATTTTTTATTTTGTTTCAGAACTCAGACTGCAGTTTACCATCTTTGAATAGCCCGAGTGATTCCCTAATAGACGAGGATCAAATGTCGACATTCATGAACTTACATATGGATGATGAACCAGACCTCACAATGAAAGCCCCTTTCATCCCTATGACCGATGACTTACCTTTATTAATGTCAAATGACCTAATGTGGAGCAATAATGAAAAGCACAAAAATCAGTTACCAGACAACAATTCAAGTTTAGCACAGTTATTGTCGACATCACTGAATAAGCACAATTTAAAAGCAAATGATCATGGCGGTGGGATGATAAGAGAGAAAAATATGGAGGAAATATATAATGAAAAAAGTACTAGAAAGAAAAAAATAATCCTTTCTTTTACTAATGTAACTTCATTTTCAGATACATACAAAAATTGGAGTACAAACAATAACAATAAAAATAACTCCCATTTAAATAAAATAGAACGTTCCCCAAGTGTTAAAAGGTCCAGTACAGCTCTATACGACCAGTCAAATAAGAAACCGAAAAGTGAACCAAAAGAAAAACTATCCTCGGAACTGCTACAGCAGTTAATGTCGAATAATCACAATAGGGGCCGTATGAAAGGCAAAAGCAATTGGTTGCTAGACAATAGCCGTCAAAAAGCAGCTTGTATATCTCAACCCAGCGACAGTGTTTTAATGAACCTATTGGTAAGCGGATTCGATATTCGAGCTGGCTACATCTGCCTAGCCCCATCTAAGTCTAAGAGATGAATAGAATTTTTTTACCTATTTATGTGCGCTGAACTCACAATGTGTATCTTTAAGGAAATAATGTAGCCCTATTAGTTCCTTATTATAAAAAAGCTCTCGATGGTGAAATGTAACATTTTTCGGTAATAAAAAATTAAGATAGAATTATGTTAAATTTTATATTCCAGCCTCGGTGTAAAAAATATGTCAATTATTTATCTAATCAAATAATCCACAAAACATGTAAAATCTATAAATATGTTGAGTGTTACTTTAATTATGTTGCCTTTCATCAGATTTTTGGAATATACTAGGACTGAATTAATTTTGAGGGATTTTTTTGTAAATTCAAGGCTTTATTGTGAAAAATTGTGTACATTATTATTTTTCAAAAGATTGTCTATTGTTAGCCACTACACCTAGCCATTTTTCTGGCGGTATACAGATTTCGCGTCGAAAGAACAACTCTTCTATTCACCAATTGATCCAATTTTTCATTTGTTCATAAGATTTGAAGTGCTGCTTAACCAGGGCGTGTTTCACGGACTGGAACAAGACCTAATTTTCTTGCTTTTGAATCATACCGAGTACATTTAAATGTTTGGAAACTGTTGTGCGATCAACATTCAGCAAATTCATCTTGCATTTGACATGAATCTTGGTCGAGTAGTGCTTCTAATTCCTCATCCTCGAATTTTTTCGATTGTTCAGGGGGTTTTCTGTCAACTGTATCAAAATAACTACTTCTAAAACGTCGAAACCAATACTCACACGTTCTTATCGATGGAGTATGTTTACCGTAAGTTTCTAACAGCACTCGATGACTTCCAGCAGCACTTTCCATTGAATTATGAAAAGTAAAAGTTCCTGCAATTGGTGTTTTGTTGACTCGTAATTGGACATCTTTGGAGCTGAGAAAAAATATGTCGTTTATACTTCAGCAAAATGACATAATAAAAATTAAAGTCTAATGACAGAACTTTGACATCGCACAAGTGTCTGATGCAGTATAGCATAAATTACACCACCATTTATTGCAAATCCTTTAAAATTAATTTACTGTTCGAGTATACCTTAACAACCTGGACTACTTTATGTAAATTAATATTATGAAGAAATAAATAGCATCTGATAGTAGTTGTTCCACTTTTAAAATTTACTCACTATTCTAGTCTATTTCTACAAACGTAGTGCAGTTGTTGACAACTGTATGTGTGTAGTTGACAAATTGACAAATAAAATTTCCCAATAAAGGCTTTTTCAATATGTCCAAAGTACAATAGTGTTCAGGGAATGTAAGTTAATTTAAAACTGCCATAATATTTTTAACATGTTTGTAACTAACTACTTTCTTTCAAACAAATTTAGTGTAAGAGTTGGCGCACTGTTTATATTGACTGTGATAGAAAATCTATCTAACATGCTCTCTATTTATGTAACATTCCTCTTCACAAACTTGGTCTTCATTCTCTCAGAAAACTGAACACCATTAATCATAATACTAGTAAAATTTCTTTTTATATTTATAACCCTATATTTTCGTAATAAATGTATGATCGAAGAAAAATTTATCCTAAATGTCTTTTATATACTATTTTTTATGATCCTGGAAAATAGGAATGAAAGTCACTGAATATGAATAATGATATTTAGGTTACACTCTTTGCCATTCATTAGTACGCATATTTATTAGAAACTGTTTTTTAAAAAATTGTGATATATGAATGTTACTCAGTGATACAATTTCTGTAAAATTAATTGATGAATTGGATTGTTAAAATTATATATGGAGATATTGTTTGTAGTAAATTGGTTTAGAAAATATGTTCCTTGTTATATGTAAATAAAAATGAATTAAAAATGTTAAATATACCTCCTATTTTTGTTACGTTATTTTTAAATTTTATTCCACCTCAGAAGATAAATAAATTTTTAAAATCACTACAATATTTACTACATACAAACTAGTTTGAAATATATTTGATATTATAATACCCATATGTGACAAAAAATCTTGACACATTGGAGGTTGATTTTTAAAATTTGTAAGTATTTTACTAATAAGAGCTGAATATTATAAATGTTGTGAAAATATAACTAAGATCTGTCCAGAATATAAAGCATTATACTTTGATAATACTGTGCCACATATCAGTTATGAATGTTAAATTTAAATTATTTATAAAACAATGAGTTTTATCATGTTTATAAAGTTTGATGTTAAATACATACTAAAAAGTCTGAAATAAATTATTACAGTTTTTCAAATTTTACTTAAAAGTTATGTACATAATATTTTGGGTGAAATGTGCTTTCATGTATGATTAATTATTCTTTTAACCTATAATTGAAAACAGGTGAAAATAGAAATAATAAGACACATGTATTTAATTGTAGGTGCTTCAACTGATTATAAATTGTTATAAATTTATGTGTACATAGGTAATTGTTGTTAGGGCAATAATAAATTTAGTGATATGCATAATCTTTTATAAAGGTTATTTCTAGATTTTATTCTTGTGTGTATATTTATTCTTTTTTAAGGTGTATTTACCAATATGCCATTTGTTGTCAATAAAATATTATTTAAATAATATTGTGTATATACCTTCCAACTTTTAATTTATTATTTAATTCGTTTAAATCAGAGTGATTTTGAAACTGAATTTTTTTGTAGATAATATTCATTTACCTAATATTATAACATATTGACACTTGTATATTTAAAAGTTTCATTCAAATTAACATTGCCAGACATTTCTGAGTGTTATCTCTTATGTACTTTTTTAGGTCACTTTTGCATTATCAAAACTTGTGGGAAGTAGTACAACCTTAAGGGGGATTCCTTGTCAACAAAATTTATTAAGTAATTTTTCAGATTAAAATATTAAAAATTACTCTTGTTTAAAGATTACTAATCTGCCTATATAGCAGAAAATAATTTTTAAATACAGGTTGTTCTAAGGTTTAAAGTCACAAACTTTAATGGGAGATAAAACACACTCAGCTGACTTCGAAATTCTATAGAGTATTTCATTATCTTTGACTGAAACAAGTGGTGGTTCGTGACTGAGAATAGGTGAAGCATATTCAGTGATTGACTGAAAAAAAGCGGCGCAAAGTCAAACAGCTTAAATAAATCTGAAAATTTTTAGTTGCATTTGCAATATTACTGAAAAGCTGACGAAGGATTTTCATTTAGATTTTATAAAAAATAGAAATATTAGTTCGGCTTGCGAACATTATGGCACACCATATATGTATGTTCCAAAGAAGCTTCGTGGTTATGACATTCTCGTGACGTTCCCAAAATTGTTAAATCTCTCCTTATTCCACACGTTTGACATTACACCCACAAATTAAACGAGGTATAGAGAAAAGTTTTTATAAATAAACACCACTTATACTCTGAATACTATTTGTTCCGAAACTACTGAATGTACACTTTGTCTTTTGACTTCCCCTTTTTTCCATATAGAGTGAATAAGGCACAGAGCTCTCGCTATTTAAAAAATCCTTTTTGTCCTCGATTTTCCATCTGGAAAATGGCGTTTCCAATAAAATACATACTGGATCATACATAGGAAACATTTCTACAATTATTATACAAAACAAATATTAACGAAGAACCGTTATAATCGTGCACTGGGCGAAGCGTATCATATAAACTGTTTAAAGGCAGGCGATGGGCGTCGGGTGACGACAAAGCTGCTACAATTTCCGCGTCACTCCTTTCCCCACGCCGTATTTTACTCCCGTGTTGGCCGCCTCGTTGCCATGACAACCGCCGTAAACAACGCTACAAAGAGAAGCGGAATACAGACTGATTTCGATCCGCGTCACTTGCTTATATGCTATTTGTTGTATGGTACGAGGTTGATGATCGCGCTCAACGAAAGCAATGTTTTTATAGAAGACGTTATTAAACAAACAAACGCAATACATTTTCAATTTAGAATTATACCTAAATTATAAAATTTATATAAAATTAAAAGTAATTTTAAATTACACAACCAAACGGAAATTTTTAGGTGAAGCGGTGTGTCACTTGCGTCACCTGGCGAGCCGCCACTGACTGAAACTGTAATTCACCAAAACTTTAAAACTAAGTAATACGTATATTCAGATATTCATTAATTTTTGTGGAAATATAATGTCCTTTTAGCCCAATCAATAGTGTTAATACACTATAAATAATTTCAAAACCTGCTGTTAATTTCTTTTTAACTTCTTTACTATTGATAAAATCACCACCATATTACACCAAAACGGACAATGAGTTGATATATAAAATAAGGCCATATTTGATGATACGCTTTTAGTGTTTTAAAAGGAATGAACAGTAAGTAAATTACATGTTTTGTGTAAGTTGAAAGTACTGACATCTCATTAAATTCTTGACTTCAAAATATGATTTGACCAAACTTTCTAAAGGTTGCTTTAGGTGTGCAGCAAAATGAAACTCTCTCAGTGGTAAATAAAAGGTATTTTTTATTGAAAACAGAAGTGCAGTGAAAAGATATGTTATCGGAGCGAGCATACCTGCGAGCGGCTCCACAAGAGGACTCGCCAACGAACGCTCGCCCCGACAACATTTTTTTCACTGCATTTCTGTTTTCAATAAAAAATACCTTTTATTTACTGTACTTCTGTTTTCAATAAAAAATTCCTTTTAGTTACCGTTGAGAGAGAGAGAGAGTTTCATTTTGCTGTACACCCAAAGCAACCATCAAGTGGTGACCCCGACGTGATACTTAAATTGGGTCGTTACATGCAGACATGAGTACGTACCCACATTACCTCTAAAAGTTGATTGATTGTCAGAAAATTGTAGAAATTATAAACTTGGATATTTTCTTTTCGGATTGTAAGTAAATATGTAGAGCTCTTAAAGCTTCATACTTGTGTTCTTGATATTTTGTAACTCTTAATTTAAAACAAAGGGTTCTCCATTGTCTTGTAATCAAGTTAATATAACCAATGTGATTAAAATAATTAAATGGCAAATATTTTGGAAATATCTTAGATTAGCAACATTTGCCAGAAGGAATATAGGGTGATATTATCAACTGCAAAGATAATATAACAAGACACTGCTGTTAACCCAAAAATTTCTTTTAATATAATAAGTTTTTGATTGTACCAAAAAATTTGTTTCCATAAATTTATAGTTTTAACAAATCAGTGGCAGCTGGCTGTTTGTTTATTTTTTATGACAAACCCATAGCTTCAGACTTACGATTAGTAATTAATTTCAGTTGCAATTTTAGTTACACAGAATTGAAAACAAGGACGGATGTATTATACTTATAATTTATGACCAAGAATATAAATCTATAGAACCATTATTAGGAATGTGAATATCAATGTTACAGAAATAGGAAATTAATGAACATGGACAATATTTTATTTTATTTCATTTTCAAAATTTATAAAATTTAAATACCACATAATTGATAACAAGAAGAGTATGAATTACGATCAAGTAAGAAGATTTTTTAGAAGGTATTCAGAATGGTTATAAATTTATACAAAAATATGGAATCCTTTTACAGTATATTAACAGTGTTTCCGATTAATGTGCGCGGAGTGCAACCATGCAAGTCAGGAACCCTGTCAGTAATAATAATAAGGTAAACAAATTAGCAGGCAGTCAGTTATTTATCTTAAGGTGTGATTCATGCCAAAAATCAAGCAAAGTCTAATATTTCAATTCTATTTTCTATTTTTCTTTATGAATAATTAGATCTCTTGTGTTAGGGTATTTCTTAATCACAAATTTATAAAGTTTAGATGTTGCTAGGTCCAAAAAAATATGTTTTTAAATTATTTCTTTTATTGAAATTTTGATGAAATTAAATTACAATAATACATAAACCCGATTGAGGTATAAAAGCTTGATTGAAGAAAAAAATGTTAAAAACAATTGGTTGTTCTGAGAACAACTCTAAATACCTTACCTTTACTAATAATAATAATGACTCATAAAAATTCAAGTGGTCATATTTTGATAATGAAGCAAGGAACCATGAATTTTTTAGGGAATGATGTCTAGGCCCACATAGTCAAACTTTCATGACAAAAAAACTTCAAATGAAATTTATGAAATATAAGATTAAAATAGAGGTATAAAGTATTTTTTTGCATGATCAACTGATGAAAGCAACCAGATGTTATTTTTCACAAAATTTTCAGTAATGTTATTACATTATGAAGTGTGATGGAATGTTAATATCAAGATGAAATTAAATATACATATATTACTCTAAAGAAAAATTAATTTTGCAATAAATAAAAAAAAACGTGATTGTACCTATCAGTTCATCATGAAATAAAATATTTTGTAAATATACGTGCAACCTTTTTCGGGACCTCAGGGTCAGACAAATCATTATTGTAACTTTATTTTGCAATTTTTTTTAGAAATTTGTTCACGAAAGTGTTCAGTGTCGTCACTGATAATAATGAAAAACCATATCAATTTTTTAGCTCTATAATCTTTCCCTCAATGTTTTTGTCAATATTACTAAAACTTTAAGGGTGTCCATAAAAACTGTTTTGCAGACAATATTCCTAAGAATTATGAATAGGTTGTAGAATTTTTTTCATTTTATGGTAATAGTAATGAAAAGTATTTGAACCAATGGTTGTTGGTTTGTTCACTTTGGAAACCACGACAAGGACTTGTTAAATACATGCTAATAAAATAAACAACATAACACATCAATTACCCGTAATTAAATGTAAAAAGGATAAACAAACAATTATTGTAATTTTAAAAAAATAACCAAATTAAGGACATTTCTTACATAGACTTTTGAGTAACAAACAACTTAATAGTGGTGGAATACATAAACATGAAAGTTTTATTAATTTTCCATTTCAGTTGTCTCTTTAAATTTCAAGATCACTCTGATGTCAAATACAGATTTTTTATTGTTTCATTGAATTGATCAACGGCTTTTATGTAGTATTGTAGGTGAATTGGAAATATACGTGGATCATCATATTTTTAATTGTCAAAATCATTTTGTTAATACTTTTTAAATTGTGAAATAAATGGCATAATTCAATACAAAATTAAAATGTATTGGTCAGCGAGGATAAATTATCACCATAGTAAAACATCTATTATCAAAAAATTTTAGATATGTAAATTTGAATATAAGCACATTTTTTTAAGGAGCAAGTTTTTTTCCTAAATTTAAATCAATAAATATTTGTGGATGCACTATATTTCCTTCACTTTAAATTGGAAATATTGAGAAGGTATCTATGCAGCAAAAAATTGTTACAATTAAAAACTGCAAGTTCCTTCTCGGATGCGTTGATAGTTTTACATTCATTTGGTTTATTAGGTAATAGAACAAACTGTTTAAGGTATTATTATCTGTATATTGCTAATTTTGCCATTAAAAGTGGATTATATTGGATAATTCATTGACCACAAAATGACTGAATGTGTATGAATTATTTGTGTGGGGCACAGATATTCAGGACAAATAATTAAATATCTCTGAAGTTCCTATTTACTAATAAAAGGTGAAATGAAAATATTTAAATTGTATAGGTTAAGTATAAACATTTAGATATTCTGCATTAAAAGAAAATTAAAACTAAGAACTATAGGAGATAAAGTTGATACATACTAGCGAAAGGAGAAGAAGCAGAATAAAAACTTTAATGAGCTTTCTGTGAATTCTACCATCTGCAAATGTCTCAACAATTACAGAAAAATGGTACAGTGTAACACCTTTAATCCGGGCAGTTAAATGTAACGAGTCTGTCAAGATTAATGGATACATATCAATTATGTGTGATGTAGGTCATAATTTAAAAATCATGTTTAAAAAAATATATGCATACTTACTTACAAATTAAGTATAACATATTTTATAATTTCTAAAAGTGAAACATTCATTTTTGTAGAATATTAACAAAGTCAGTTATAGATTATTGTCTTTTTGAGTTAATTTGTACAGATTGACAGAAATAAGTTTGCTTCTGAGATAACCCTTGCCCACAAATGCATGTCAGACACAGCAAGAGAAACGATCCAGAAGTATATTTGTATCTTATTTTTTGTGTCTAGCCGAATGCATTCTTTCTAAATCTCACAGAGCTTTGCCCGAATCAGAAATGCAAACTTATTTGTGTCGGCCTTAACTTCTTAAGTTCAGTTCACAAGTATGTTTCAACGTTAATACATTATGCTTTCTTTTCAGCATTTTGATTCAGAATGTATACAGTACACATTACTTTATACTGACCAAAATACAGGATAAGGAGGTTTCTTCAGACTAATTGGAAAAATAGTTAATTGGATTTTTTTATATGCCTACTCAATATATATGTTGAAGAAAATTTCATGGTTATTATTAAGCAAATTGGCAAAAATGTAATAGAAATAGGCTTAACACTTATTTTTATTGTGACTAGATATTTATTAATTTATGATAGATCTCACTAACCCCAAACTTTATATGTACCGCTCTATAATTGTTCTCATATAGGTACTCTTATTATATAAGTGGTGTTCAGTTTTCTAATGTATTATACTTTGTTGTGTTATGTACTATGATATACTATGTATGAAATGTTTTTTTTTTTTTAGTTATGTAATCCATAATTTTCTTTTTGTGCAGGATGATCCAATGGATGAAGAATTAGCTCCAAACATTCGACTAGACCTGGATATCAATCAAAAGAAAATTCAACATGCTCTGCTGAAAGATAAAATTGCCAGAAGAAATCTGATTCGAAAAAATTCTATTTCCCTGCTTGATCCTGAGGCAACATCAATACCTTCATTATTAGACCTTACGCAGCAGGATTTCGAAGTAAACGCACCAGTGGGTAATTTTCTTCTACAAGGCGAAGAGCTGCTTACAGCTCTTGATGCGAACTCCCCCATTTAGCTAGAAGAGAAATGTTTAGGAGCAGTCGTTGGAGAGTTTGAAATACCATTATACGTTGTAAACGGAGAAAATGTTACGATACAATATGTAAAAGTTAATTTAAATGGTGACTAACAACATAATTTAAAATATGATAAAAGACATACGGACTGAAATGAGGGGTCTTAGAAGTTAGCATTGTTAAGGGAAGAAGACAATGGTATTTGTCGATAGAAGTCTATTTTAATAATGCTCATTTATACCAAATATAAAATTTCATGTAATTAGTCCCAGTAGTTTAACCAATATAATATTTCTTGTTATCCTGCTTTCATTCTCTCCTCATCAAAAGAAAATCTAAAAAGTTTAACAGTTTTTTTCGTTCATATTTTAGTTTTATTTTAATCGATACTTATATAGATTAGTTACATGAAATGTCAAAAATGCAATAAAATTGTAAATATTTGTATGTACATTTTTATATTTTTGCAAAGCAAAGCTCTATATATATCCTACATTACATAAAATACAAAATATAAATGGTAGTTGTAATCTTAATTATGAAATTATCTCGGTTATTTCCAACAACAGCAAAGTACTGGCAGAAATTATTTTATTGTCTTAACATCATTTAGAGACATTAAGATCATATTTATGTGCACATTTTTCATTTTGATAATATCAAGCATATTAAAATTTGTATCATTTTAAAAACATAAAATTCAGTTGGTTTTGCTATTACCAGTTTGATTTACAAAAATGCCACCATAGAGTACAAATTTCTCATACTTTATTCTTAAATTAAAAATGGCAAGTTATAAGTGTATTGTAAAAAAAGAGTCTACCGAAATACAAAATAGTACAAATAACAATAATATTATATTGGTTAATTTAACCAATACTATACGATCTCAGTTATAGAAATTATGAAATATTTGTTTTAACCTGTACAAATCTGCTGGATATGCGCTGAATTAATCTTATGCCATGTAAATCTGCTTAATTATGTATAATTATTTATATTCTCGTAAACCTTTCCTTTGTCTGTTGTAAATGGGACCATAATTGCACATTATCATGATCATGAATATAAAATTTCTAGATGTAATCACTTTTTTTCACATAAATATTTAGTTATATTTTAAATATTTTATGTGGATACAATTTTGGAATTCTTGTGCAAACATTATATATGGTAATTTTTTGTTTCTTTTTATTTTTGCAAAAAAATCATATTTAATCCTCATGGCAATTCGGACTTTTAGAATTGCAGAATTCTTGAAATATTTATTATGCTGGAAAATACATACCAAAGATTAACTTACTATTTACTGGAAGTTGCAGTGTCTGTTTTGTTAACATTGAGTGGATTTGTAACTGAGATTGGTTGTACATAGATTTGTAGGTTTTAGTATATCATATTTCATTTATTTCATTGTTAATTCCTCATTTCCTTTTAAATTATATTGTTAATTTCACAAAGGATGATGCCATGTGGAGTCATTTTCAAGCTCTCTCTTTCTGCTGAATATAGTGATAATGGTTTATATCATACGTATGTGACCATTTATTTGTTCTAATTGGAGAAATATATTTTATCATTACTAATATAGACCTAATATGTTTTTGTTACAGAAATTTATATAACTGCCATATTTAAAGTGTATTTTAAAAATTTTTAGATAGCATTTTTTTTTCAAAATATATAAATATCTAGGATGTAAGATAGTTGATAGGATTTGTTGAGTAAATGCCTATATAACTATTTTAGATTGGTTGAAGATGCAATATTTTAAATCAACTATGTTTTTATTAAGGTTTATTTTTTAGGCCCAAATGTCAATTCCCACATTTTAAAATGTATGTGTTAAGTTTACAATGAAGTGTAATGTAAAACTACTATATATTTTATATTTACAAAATGGTGATGCACAAGTGTTATATTTTTCAATATACATACCATAGTGACTTCCTTGAAATGTAATATGCATTTATTAAGGTAACAATATAATTTTTCTAGTAGTTTTATAATCATATACTATATATGTAATTGCTAAATAAATATAAGATATATTTAAGGTGTAAATTCAATCGAGATAACTTTTTAAACTGTAATTGGGAATTTGGGCGGGTATATAATAAATTATATTAAAATGGGCAAGTTGTCTTTTATTTTATCTGATAAGAAGTAATAACTATGAGCTGAGCAAATTAACATTTTAATTATAACATTTAAAGTAAAGCCACTAGAATTTTGAAAAAAAATCGATTTTTGGATAAACGGTTTAAACAACACTATTATGTGAAGAATATAGAAAAAAGTTTTAGAGGGTGAAAAATCGGACACGACTTCTTTCGAGGTATAGCACAACCACTTGCAGCACATTGCAGAAGTGCTTATTATAATTTGTGAAAATATATGCGATAAATAGGTATTAGAGATGCCACACAGTGGGAAATATTGGAAAAAATTCAAGCTACGCGTCAAAACTAATCAAATAGTACTGATTTTTTTTATTCTTTCAGAAATTACCTGTACTATAAAGTTCCGGTAAGGTAATTGGAATATATGTCTTGTAACTTGCCCATTTGGTGTAAACTCCCATCCAGTTCTTTCCACATAGACCAATAATGTCCTACTCTACTATTATTACGATTATTAATGTTACCCGATACAGTGTGTATCTCTTTTCGCCCATCCTCTACTGGCTTTTCCAATTCTGAATTTTTATTTATGTTACTATGAGAAAGCTCTAATAGCGATTGTTTAATTTCGCCCATACCACTGCACAATACTTTACTGTTTTGACATAAATTTATATTAATTTGCTCCATTAATTTAGTCAGATTAATTAGAGTATTTTCTATTTGTTCATTTTTACTACTTTCCCAACGTCATCCTGCTCCTTACTCTTATTTTTGTTACGAGTATCCATCTCTACTCTTATTTACCTATACTTAACAATATTAATTAACGCTCAATCAATCTTACTCTATGATCGTTTTTAACAGCGCTAATTTTACAAATCCATACAATTTTACAAATATGTTAGGTACATACACAAGCTCAATATCGGAATTATATTACCTCAGTACACCTAAATTCCTTAGAAGCGCGATGAATGACTGCTTGTTGACAATGTCGGCTCGTTGTGTAGCTGGACACCTGCAGAGACTGCACACTGCATACGTCACGTAGTTTTCTCTCTTCTACCCGCTCGCACTATCGTCGTCATGTCTCACGTCGCTCCGTCTCGGAACACCACGCCAATGGCTGACCCCACAGTTTTTACAGTTTTTGTTTTTAAGCACTACAGTTTTAACAACAATTGATTTGTTTCTCGCCAGGCACTACTGTTAGTTGTTGCTATTAATTCACACAATTAAATGACCTGGCCCAACTCTATATTCAAATATTCGAGCCTCACTTGGGCGCCAATGTAGCTTGCCCAGCCAGCTAGCTCAAGGGGAGGAAAAAGGGGAATAATTCTCGAATATTAGGATTTAATAGCATTTATTCATCATCTAAATTTACAATTCGGTCGCCTGTCAACTACTAACTCTACTACCCTCTAAGAAAAATCTTGGGATTTTTCGCTGTTGATGGCTACTCAATTCACCACCGTCAAAGCGGAGCACACTCAACCCGAAGATCCCCGGTTTTCACCAACACTTTTACTTGTTTTCCGTAACCAAAAGCCAGGTGACACCCCGTCTGTCTCACCACACTGACATGTCGCTACCTCCCTCGATCAAAACTTAAAACTAAGAGTATCATTGGTTGCCTAACTAAACGGAGTAGGAGCAAGGTGCCCGTTACAGTCTAGAATTTTTTCAAAATTTCAAACTATATCAAACGAAGTTTGACATATTCGGTATCTAAAAATGATAAAAAAAGGAAAATTATGTGCTAGAGGCTGCCAAATGAAAAAAAAAAATCATAAACATTAAATATATTCCTAAATCATGAATCCAGACCCAAAACATAACATAATAAATGTTCATGAAATTTTTTTGTTTGGCAGCAGTGCATAATTTTCCTTTTTTTTTTCATTTTTAGATACCGAATATGTCAAACTTCGTATGATTGAGTTTAAGGCTAGAGATTACTCGGCCATTTTGAGAAAATTCTCGGCATATATTCCAATTACCTCGCCAGAACTTTATAGTACAGGTAATTTCGGATAGAATAAATAAAAATCAGTACTATTTAATTAGTTTTGACGCGTGGGCTCGAATTTTTTCCAAAATTTCCCACTGTGCGCCAGATTCAATCTCAGATCAAGCCGAAAAGAAGAGGATAAAGGAAATATCAATATAGAAAGCCAACTATATGGTGCAAGCATCGCTGATTCAATGTATTCATAGGTATAATGAATTTCTTATACTGAATGGCATCAACAAATTCTAAGTGCGTTTTTCAAGAAACCACTTTTTTATCTGGCTGGAAACATAACTCAAAATGTTTTCAGTGAATTGACTTAAAATTTTTTACAAAGTTACGCAATAATATAGCTTAGGGAATACCGTAGGGGTTTTTCGATTGGTTTAACAATTTTCATGAAAAATGCAAAATTTTTAATCTTTTTTCAATACGTTTTTTGAATCTTCACGAAATCAGCAATTATTAAAATAATTTTAATTACCCTAGCTTTTAGTACCTACATAATATCAGAAATTTTTTGCTTTTTTGATCCAAAGCCAATCCAAATCCATTAATAAGTAACCATTCCGATCATACAGTCCTCTGAAGAAAAGATGTTACTTAGTGTCATGTACAGCTGCCATTGTGAATCCAAATCGTTTGAAAATATTCACAATACTACTTGAAAACATGTACAATAAAGTATTATTGTTCCTGATACTACATCTTGTATCGATTTTTTTTGAAAATTCCCGAATATTACCTTTTTTCCCAACCTCTAAAGTGGCATTACCTTAAAATAACAAAATCTGCAGAAATGACAAACCATTTTAAAAGTAAAATTGCTAAAATTAACAAAATATCAACTCACAAAAACAAAAAAATTTATTGAACAACTATAAATGCAATTTAACTAAGAAGTCCATTATTTGATACTGGGTTAGATCGCATTTACTTGAAATAACAGTCTTGATTCGATTGTGCATTGCATTTATCAACCTTGCACTTTCTTCTGGCTTATTAAAGCAGAAACTTTAATTTTTCTGTTAGGAAACGAAAATATTTGCTTGCCAAACTTAGGTGGAGGTTACATTGGATTTCAAAAATTGTGCGAATGTGCGATATCATACAGATTTTTAACAAATTATTCCTAGTGGTTACTTGGCTTTGTTAAAATTTAATTGAAAGTAAAATATACCCAAAGTGTTTAATACCACAGTCACATGTAAATACACATATTTGTTTTGATTTGAATCCAAAGTAACCACTGCTTTATGCGCTTGGGGTTGTTTTACATTCAGTTCAACAATATTCCTAGTTATAATTTCGTAAAGTTTTTTCTCTTAATCATTAAAAGCTACTTCAATTATCATCATTATGGAAAGAGAACAACAATTTTAAAGGACTGTATAATTATAAAGTAGGTAGATATCAATTTTAGGGGATGACTGATTGTGCTAACAGATAACATCACATTAAATTAAATGCATTATGGTAAGTTTGATTTGCAGACAATTTTACTGGGAATTTAATTAAGTGTAGTTGTATATATGTGATAAATCTAATAGCAAAAAGAAACAATAATATAGTTAGTTTTTTTTTTAAGACTGTTATCCAGTATTGGAAAAGATAAGTAGTTATTACAGAAAAATTGAGAATAAGTAGAGGGTTTCTGTGCCCTACAGATCAATTTAGCAAAATGTTAGAAAGTATTTACTAATTTCAGAAAAACCCAAGGTAAGTATTATAAAAAAGTATTTCCTTTGTGGGCACTTAATTAGAAGTCCTAGAACTGAGTTGTCGTATTACTAAAACAGAAATACATTTACATGAATATATTGTTTTTAGAAAAAACTTGGTATAGTGGTTTTTAATTTTCTTTATATTTTATTTTAGTACCTATATCGATATTATCATTTTTTATTGTTAATATTAGATAGAAAAAACTTAATATTTTCTAAGTGTCCAGCAAGTCCAGTAAGAAAATGATTCAAAAATCATCAGATTTGTTATTTTTTAATTACAACTATTTTAATTTTTTCTACTGAATGTATTATTTATTTCTGTACATATATATTTTTTTATAATACCCACTTACTTTTCAACATGTACCTATCATATTTAACAAAAATATGATTTTGATTAAATGCAAAATTATAACAAATGGAGATACATAGGCGAATGAGTATTGTAGGAGTACACCTTTCATTAGTTTTTATTATGTTTAAGTATAATAATAGATTGCAATTTTTTACTACTTTGTCGATTATGGGCAGGCCACTATTTAGTGGCATTCGTCTGCTACATTTGTAAAATAGCAATATTAAATATTTTTTACGATTTTAACTAACAAAATATTTAGCAAGATATAGCCGCCTAAATGTACTATCTCGTATCTTTTTGTATTTCTACTTAGGAAAAAATGTTAAAGCCTTAGGTTTTTTGGAAATATTCTTGTGATCTCAAAGAAATATAAGAAAAAAAAACTGAATATTGCACAAATATGAACTGATAGCACAGATCAGTTGTAATTAAACAATAGAGGATTAGAAATAAAGATAAATCAAGTGTTCTATAAAAAAAAGTAGTAACAAGTTTGATGTTTAAACTCTAAAATGCAAAATGCAACGGTAAATTGGTTTTAAGTATTTTTTGATATCACTTGAGAACAGAAGGCTATGTTAAAATTAAGCCTTTATAAAGAAGAAGAACTATTTGTTCTACAAGAACTGTTTATGGGTGTTTTAGCCTGAAATGCAGTTTTAAATATAATGTAAAATGTCATTAAGTCTAAAAATTAATTGTACTACAAGATTTATTTTTTTTAGGCATTGAAATTCTAACACACCATATTTCCACTATCGCTTGAGGTGTTTATAGATAAACTTAGCGAATTTTTACTTCGAATAAGATAAATCAATGAACCAAGACTCGTTTACATCGAACTTTCAATGATATTTCAGAAAAATTTAAAAAATTTTTACACCCTGTATCTCAAAAATGAAGTGTTCTAC